TGCAGTGTCCCGTCCCCCCCAGCACTTTGCTCCTCCCCTGGGGAGGGCGAGTGACTCTGGAGCCAGGGGCAGCTGGGTGGGGCATGATAGGGTCCCAGGAGGGGGGCACTGGGAGACCCCAACACAGATGCAGCCCCCCCTCCCCCAGCTGGAGTGGGGGCTGCAGTGTCGGGTGCCCCCCATGCTGTGGGTGGGGGTGTCCAGGCCGTGGGTGCAGGACGCCAGGTCCCTGCAGTCTCGCCTGTGTGTGTGTGTGTGTGTGGGGGTGTCTGGCGGTAACAAGGGTGCCGTGTCCCCCCCCAGGTGAGGACTTATCCCCGGACCATCGCCAGCTCGGTGCGCAGGAAGGACGAGCGGCGCAAGGAGAAGCGTGAGGAGATCAGGGAGAGGAAGAGGAAGGTGAGAGATGCCCCCAGCGTGCGGGGGGGTGGGGGCTGGGCTGAAGGGGGCTGGGGGTTCTCCACTCCTGGAAGTTGTGGGGCAGCCTGAGTCGCGGAGCTGAGCGAACAAAAACTGTTCAATGGGGGAAGAGAACAGGGGGCCCGGACTCCTGGGTTCTATCCCCAGCTCTGGGTGGGGAGTGGGGTCTAGTGGTTAGACCGGGGAGGCGGGGCTGGGAGCCAGGACGCCTGGGTTCTCTCCCTGCTCCTGTCTCTGCTTGGTCTTTACCCTCAGTGTACTGGTGTCTCCAGGGGCTGGTTCTATTGGACACTGAGTCTCTTGGGGGTTAGGAGCCGCCCCCCCCATCTCTCTCTGTTGCGGGTGCGGGGGGGTGTCAGCGAGCGAGGGGACCCCATCCCATAATAACCCAGGCCCATCCCCCCCGCAGGAGAAGGCCCAGAAGCAGGAGGAGTTGAAGCAGCTGAAGAACCTGAAGCGCCAGGAGATCCTGGCCAAGCTGGAGAAGCTGCGGGAGGCGACGGGCAACGCGACCGTGGGCTTCGGGGAGCAGGAGCTGGAGGGGGCCTTCGACCCGGCCGAACACGACCGGCTCATGCAGGCGAGAGGCTCCCGCCCGGGGACCGGGACCCGCCCACCTCGCCCTGGGGGGCCTGGCGCCTCCCGGCCTGCGGCACAGACACCCCCCCCCTGCCCACAATGAGGCCTGGGCACCTCCTGGCCTGTGGCACAGACCCTGCCACCCGGCACCTTCTGGCTGGCCTGCAGAGACCTCCCCACTCTCCCCATGGGGCTCTCGCATCTCCTGACGCCGCCACACCCATCTGGGCTCCAAGGGGTTAATGTCCCGCGCCAAGCCCCCAGCTGGCTCCCATCTGGCCCGGGTCCCATGTCCCTGGCCTGGCTCCTCTGTGGGTCACCGGGCTGGGGGGACCTTCCGTGGGACAGAGGAGCCCTCCCTTGTCCTGTCCCCCTGGGCACAGCCGTTCCCCAGGCAGGAGGGGGGAGGGGGACTCCTGCCCCTCTCAGCCCAGCTCTCACTCGGCTCCTTCTCCTCTTCCCACCCCACAGAAGTTCTTCGGGGCCGAGTATTACGGGGAGGCGGAGGAGGAGAAGCCGCAGTTCGAGGAGGAGGAGGGCGTGGATGGTAGGTGGATGGGGGTGGGGGGAATATGGGGGGAGGACAATGGGGGGCACCATGAGACTCCCACCCCACTTCTGTGCTCAGATCAGCTGGGCAGATCACTTCCCCCCCCCCCCCCCACCCCACTCTGCAAGTG